GACAGAGAGAGAGAGCGAGAGAAAGAGAGAGGGGGGGGGGACGTTCCTATTCCACGACACCAATGGACACCGAATAAATAAATATAGAAATCTATCATACTTTCAAATTACAGACAGCAGATCTCCAGTGGCATCGTTTAAAGCTTGGTCAGCATTCCCTTTATCAGTGAAGCTGCTCCACAATTCTCTCTCTCTCTCTCTCTCTCTCTCTCTCTCTCTCTCTCTCTCTCTCTCTCTCTCTACGTAAGACACTGCTGTATCACTCACTACCATTCCACATTCAATGTGACCACGCGTCGATATTAACTTCTGTGTGGTGTGGAAGGTAGGCCTTTCGATGTCGCATGCAAGAGACGTGAGTTCTATTGCCAAGTAGGAACGTTTTGGGTTGGGGGTTTTTTCGTTTTTGTTTTTTGTTTATGTTTTTCTTTTTTCACCTGTGTTTGTGTTATTTTACTTTTTCAATTTGTTTTGTTTACATTTTCATATTTGTCATTTACAATTATAATACAAATCGAGCACACCCATCTTTCCGCTGGGACCGACCGTGTCCCTCTCAGCCCGGATTGGCCATGACAGGCATAGTCGAAGCAGCCCGTATCCTAAATGATATAACTTTTTTTGATGGGGGTGAAAAGCATTTCGCACACGCATTGAAAGAAAAGGAGAATAAAAAAGGAAACATAGTAACAACTTCTTGTACGATACATAAATATGGCAGTTCGTCCCTAACAGTTACGCAAAGAGTTAAGTAACAAGAAAAACAAGTTGAAGTCCCTCGCTGCACTGCTTCTGTGGATACAGTGGGCCCCACTTATAATAGTCACGGTTATCACAGGATTCTGGTTATAACGGGCTTGTAATAAATGCCGGAGTCCGATATCATATGACGTATGGTAGAAAAAAGTTCTTTTACAGCACACACCATTCATGACGGCAAACACGTGCACCTTCAACCACCACCACCTCTCTCTCTCTCTCTCTCTCTCTCTCTCTCTCTCTCTCTCTCTCTCTCTCTCTCTCTCTCTCTCTTCTCCTTCCCTCCCTCACTCCCCTCCCCCATCCACCCCCTGTCTCTCAACTCCTCTCTCTGCCAAGAAACGCCCACAGAGCCGGTCTTCCCCCCAAGTGGGCCCCCCATCGCCCGGTCACTCACCCTGTACACCCTTTACGAAATCTCCCGTTAACTAATAATCATAATATTATTCCATCTTCCGCACAAACGGGCCCTAAACACACCAGCTACTTTTAGACCTCCAGCCGCGCGGAAGACCGACTCACGTGCAGGCACGATCAATTCCGTGCCGCGCGACATCAGCAACTCTTTCATGGACTACATCATATAATATGGTTTTCTTGTGTCTTTCGTCTACTTTTACTTTTTCTTTTTGTTTATATTTTTCGGGTGGGTGG